GCTGTGGGTGTGCAGAGTATCCTTGGGGGGACATCTCCCTGCCCCAGGCTCGCTGCGTCCTGCCTCTGGGGCAGAGGAGCCCTGGCCCAGCCTCAGCCTGGCTCTGTGGGCTCAGGGTGCTGTCCCTGCAGTGTTTCTGATGACTTGCAAGCCCCCTCTGTACATGGGCCCCGAATACATCAAGTACTTCAGCGACAAGACCATCGATGTGAGTATCCCCCCATCCCTGGGGGTCTCAGGGGGCTCTGCCCTCCTCCCCCCCACCCTGAGCCCCTGCCCCTGTGGCAGGAGGAGCTGGAGAGGGACAAGCGGGTGACGTGGATCGTGGAGTTCTTCGCTAACTGGTCCAGTGAGTGCCAGTCCTTCGCCCCCATCTTCGCCGACCTCTCTCTCAAGTGAGTGGTGCCCGCCGGGATCTCGGGGGGTCACGGGGGCTGTGGTCCCCCGTGTCCCTCCCAGCTCTGTGTCCCTTCCTGCCCAGGTACAATTGCCAGGGGCTGCAGTTTGGGAAGGTGGACGTGGGCCGGTACACGGACGTCAGCACCAGGTGTGGAGGACACGGCCTGGGTGGCAGGGCCCACCCCAGGACGGACCCTGTGACCCCCTGGCCCCCTTGGGCCGCCTGTGGCTCACTGTGGGCCTGTCCTACTGCAGGTACAAAGTCAGCACCTCGCCCCTCACCAAGCAGCTGCCCACCCTCATCCTGTTCCAGGGGGGCACGGAGATCATGCGGCGGCCGCAGATCGACAAGAAGGGCCGGGCCGTGTCCTGGACCTTCTCTGAGGTGGGTGGGACCTTCCTGGCCTGTGCCTGGGAAGGGAAGGGGGCTGTGGGGGTCCCTGAGGGTGCTGATGCTGCCTCTGGGCCACAGGAGAACGTGATCCGGGAGTTCAACCTCAACGAGCTCTACCAGAAGGCCAAGAAGCAGTCGAAGCCGCGGGAGGAGGGGCCCGAGGAGGCCCCGCCCGCGCCCGCAGCCGCCGGGCACCCCGAGGGGGAGACCAAGAAGGACAAGTAGAAGCTGCCCTGCGCTGTCGCCCATCACCACGCCGCCATCACCCTGGTGGCACCGGCCTCGCCCGGCCCTGCCCGGC